TTTCAAATACTTTTGAAATCTCACATTTTGAAATGTGGGATTTCAGTTAATTTCATGGGGTTATGTCTCACTGACATCTCACTGACATCACCACCATTAAAGGAAATATGAACATCAGTTTGTACTTAAATTTTCTGCCTTAGTAGAAACTTTTATCATGCTCTGTTTTAAAACAAATCTTCATTAGGAATGAATTTATTTTCAATATGTTTTTGAATGTATAAATGAGTGTTTAACCAATGTAATATTTTTCTGACTTCTTAAATTACAGTTACTTCTAGAAAAAGGTAAATGTAATCTTTAAAATCTTTTGATTGCTGTAAGGCCTTTGACTTGAAATAGCATGACATCTTGAGCGATAATCAAAACTTATTCAAAGCCAACCTTACAAGCATTAAGCAGATTAGAACTGTTTGAAAAAAATAGGGTGAAAATGTAATGATACATAAGAGCTCACCATTGAACAGTCACATGTCTGCGCATTTGTCTAGATAGGGAAGAGCTGTGGGTACTGTACTATTTAGATGGTTTTCAGAGTTGGTTTTTAGAAACACCCTGGGTAACACAATTGTTGCCAGCAGTGTTTGTGAATGCCACGAAGACTGTGGATATATGAAATAATGAAAAGCACGGATCCCTGGGCTCAGAGAAACATGTGCTTTGGTCCAGTGAAACGTAGGGACGTACATCTAAGAGCTGCAGGAGAACAGAGATGGGGGGGTTGGTTGTCTTTGGAGTACTGTCTGAGAAAAAACACAGGCATCATGATGGACTGTCAGTCAAACTTGGGTCTCCATCTGACCCTGTGGTGAAAGGGACTCATTTAGGTGTGCACACAAGAATATGAAGCGCTGGTAGAGAAGCGGCGTCACCTTTGTATTTTTTCCTTCTGTGACTGCTGCAGTGGGGTTTCCAGGTCTGGGCTCCACACTTCAGAAAAAAGATGACAAATTGAAGAGGGCACAGAGAAGAGACACAGACTAATTAAAGGATTAGAAAAATATGATTTCTACAGAAAGACTTAGGAGCTCAATTTATTTAGATTATCAAAGGGAAGGTTAATGGGTGATGCGATCACAGTCTCTAAGTACCTACAAAAGCAAGAAAAATTTGATAATAGAGGGCTCTTCAGAGCAGGGGAAAAAGATATAACAAGAGCCAGTGGATGCTAGGTGCTGCAGTGAAACAAATTCAGGCTAGGAATAAAATCCTGTTTTCCCATTTAAACAATGATGACCAGTGCTCTCTGAAATAAGTTACCAAAGGTGCCACTAAGTTTTCCATTACTAGACTTCTAAAGTTAAGGCAGAATGCTTTTGTTAGAAGACATTGTCTTGTTCAATCTCTGCTCCCAGATTTAAGGAAGAAATTAAGAAATGGGAGTTTAATAACTATATTAAGAACCGTTCATGCTAGAGAACCACAGTGCTACCATCCGGTTGTTGAAAGGATGATGAAGGCTGTGTTTCTTTTAACATGCTGGCCTTAATCTGGCAGGGTCTTTGGGCTTGCCATCTTAGTGAAGGCTTATCACCAAGCATTCTTGATTTAATGGGACTGTTTGCATGGGTCAGAACCAGCGTACTCAATGCTGGGAGTATGAACGCTTTTTTGCAGTGGTGGTAAGTTATCCTAAGTGTAAAGGTGCTTTCCAAAGCAAGTACCTCAGGGAATGATGTTGTGATTCCAGTCCGTGGACTCTGGCTGTGGGTTGCTGTGCTGCGGTGGGAGCCCGCTGCCCCCGCAGCTTGGCGGTGGTACCCAGAATTGGTTGAGAACACCTTGTCTGCATCACCAATGGCCTGGGTTTGTCATCCCACTGAGCACTTGCATGGGGTGGCACCTTTGCTGGCGGGCCTGGGCGCAAGCTACCTACTTATTTAACAGAAATGAGGCCTCTCCCACTAACTACCATCAGTTCCCCCAAGACCAGATCTAATCCTCAGCAGCATAACACTTCTCTTCCACTTACAATGCCGTGTTAAATGGCAAAATGTTGATGCTTCCCATAATGTTCATCTATCTGGTTTAGGCTTTTCCAACCTTTTCCAGTCCTTCCAGCCCTGAAGCTCCTGCTGCAATAACCCAAGTTAGATACTGATACAAACAATAAAGTAAATCTCATAAAAATTTCTTTGCCTTAGTTTTCCCATCACTAATAATTTTGGTCTCATTAAGAGATGTGCAGTATCTATTCTTTTGGTTTTGCTTTGTCTATTTTTCTCTGTTTCACACAAGCTCCCTTCTTTCCACTTGTGCTAGTTTCCATCTTCTCCAGATCCACACAGCTTCTGTATTGGTAAGTGGTAGTATGAATGCTTTGGTTTCACTTTTATATGTTAGATCAATTCTCGCTTCCAAAACATGGGCACTCAGTAGAGCCACCAGAGAAAAGGAAGTTCTTCTGCTGTCTTTCATATCATGGCATCTACAGTTTCCGTTTAAATGGCTGGTCAGAAAAGTTTACCTACTAACCACTGTTTTGGTCAAACAAGTCTGTGACTTAATCATTAGCAAATTATTGGTGTGATCAGAAAAAGAATAGAGGGTAATCCCAGGGAGATCTCCCACATCATGTTAATAATCATTACGGCAGTTTTTTAATAAACTATCTTCCATTCTTTAATGTAAATGACAGATTTTACTGTGCTAATCTCTGATGCTACGTTTTGTTTAATGCTTCTTGTATGAAAAAAATATTTTAGCCCCCATAGGCTCTTATCCACAACTCATACTTTAGAAGGTTATTTCTCTGGTAAGATGCCTGTAATTTAGTGGAAGTAATAACAGGCTGTGTGCATTTTTCTGGATTTTTAAAATTGTAATTTAAGCGATAAGCAATTTATGCAATATCTTGAGGTTCCTTGACACATTGGAATTGAAAGAGGAGAAATGGAAGGAAATGACAAATCTTTTCTGTTTCCTTTTTTTTTTACATCCTTGTTTATGATTTTTCACTCATCGAGTATTTCTCAACGTGTGGTTTTCAAGAAGCGGGGTTTGATTAATGAAGTGTCAGATACAGAGGATGTCGTGAGAATTTTGGCATTTATTGTTTGCAGCATTTAAATTAGCCATGGTGTTTTCAATATTCAGTATTTTTTATTTACTATAACTATTAATCTGTTAATAGTAAATACCTTCTTATAGTAAATATCAGAACATAGTAAACTTTGATCTTTAGACATCTACAGAAAGTTGATATACAAACATTATACCAGTTATTCAGATTTGGCATTTTGATGGAAATCCTTTTATTAATTAATTAATTAATATTAAACCAAGACAAGGAAGTGTTTTTGTTTAAATAAAAGATTTATTGTAATTTCTTTTATTGAGATGAACTTTCCTTAGCACTGCTGTTAATTTTTTTTTTTTTTTCAGGCTATAAACACTTAGACAGTAGAATCATTTTTTGTAGAGTATGTATGGAGAGTGTTAAGACTACCTAAATGCTAATGGTTTCAGTACCATGGATGCTTATGGGCTAGGCCTAAGACCATCAAAATGATTTTACATAGGGAAATGGACAGCTGTCAAAACCTAGCTAGAATTACATTTTTTGCAATATCAGCAGTTCAATTATTAATCCCTTATTTATTAATTCCTTATTCTGGTCGTCTGAAAACCTGTATACTCTATAATAGACTTCTATATTATTGCACCTTCCATATCGAAGGCATGCCTCTGTTTAACTCAGCTGAGAACAACTGAAATAGGATGGTTCTGTGAAGCTTCTATGCCAGATTTGTGATTCCATATTGGTATAATTACTGGATATTGTATATATAATTGCCTTGATGTAAATATGACATGTCTGTGAGCTTGTTCACTCCGTAGGACGGTGGAGAGATTTTTCACTTCTGATACATCCCACTTGGGTGTCAGTCTTGGTAGTATGCTTCTTATGCTAGCAGCTCAACCTATCCTTGAATGTTGCTTGTATTAATAGAATCTGTATAAAAGGACGGGAAGAAAGAAGCATATATTTCATTTAGACTACTGAATTGTCTTTCTTTTGCATTGTATCCTTGAATAACTTAATATATCTCCCAGATAATAATGTCTTGCTTATTATTGAAGAACTTTCCACACCCATGTTAAAAATTACTTCCATGTTTTTACTGTGCTGGCTTGTTGCGATACCCTTTGTCAGAATGTGTTATGCTGTTGACAAGGTGTATGCTATTCTCACAACAGATAAACACTTTAGTCTAACTATGCCATTGAAAATGCTTGTGATTCAAGAACCTGGGTGATACTGCTCCGATATTGTGCAGAGGTATTTGGAAATCTTCCCAGTGACTTTTCAGCGAGCACTTAATGTGATTCATAATGCTCTGGGATAGAATCACAGATGTGTAAGAGACCCACTACATCATCACTTCCATTTTCATATGAGATCAGGTTATATTCTCTCAACAGAGGATGCAGCGAGTATTAGATTCACACTACATTTGCTCCCCAACAACTTTCAAAACCTGGCAGGAGAGTTCTTTAAAAAGCATAAAAAGAGATAGGGAGTCAAGGCTGCCCTGTCCCTCTATTTTAAAAATCCTATGCAGATTTTTGTTATGCTTTCAGTAATGTTTTCAACAGCTATTTAACTATATTCTACATACTGAGGCATCTATGTAGGCATGTAGCCCTTGAGCCCTATGCGAAGGCATATCCTGGATGTATGGGTATGTCTGAGGAGATAAAATTGCAGAGTATTTCTTTGGAAATAATTAGTATGACTTACGGGGGAGAAAAGGGGGGGTGAGTGGAGATCTCTATTTCTTATTTAATCTATCTGTTTCTTGGATACAGAAAATATATTGCAAATGTAATTTTTTTCAATTTATTGTACTACCTTTCTTTGGTCAGAATAGATCATACTGAATTCAGACTCTGTCATCTGTGGTAAGTTGCTGCAATAAATTCAGTTCTGCAACTTAAACCCTGTCTTTTTTTTCTCTTTCTCTCTTCCCTTCTCCATCCCTCCCCTCCCTCCTCAGGCAGCCAAGGGCAGTTTCCACTTACACAGAACGTTACAGTTGTTGAAGGGGGAACAGCAAATTTGACCTGCAGGGTCGATCAAAATGATAACACCTCCCTCCAGTGGTCAAATCCAGCTCAACAGACATTGTACTTCGATGACAAGAAAGGTAAATTGTTTCCTGAACTCATGGTTCTGCATCATTTTTTCTAAGAAATAAATGTTTAAAACAATTTCCCTTTGCTATTTTAATGTGAAAATATTTGCTAGGAGTATATGTTTTCAGCTATGATGATGATATAATCTTTTTTGAAGGGGAGTTCACTGAAATATTCTTTTGCATATAAAATTGTATGTTATCAATAAAGGAAAAGACTAATATTTGAAATTCTTATTGCTAGCTAATTTGGAAAACATTGTTGCAAAATATCTTGGAAGAGCATTTGTGGGTGGTGAGAGGCTGGCAACTGAAGAAGTTCATAACCCTTGTAACTTGCTTTTATTACTCTGTGTGTTTGTGTGTATACATATATACATTTTATATATATTTATAGAGAGAGATATAATGCCACTGTTTGCTTCAAGTGTACTGCAGTTTGGTTCTTAGTGCAATAGACAGTTCCTGTGTTAGGTGTTCTTAACAGCTAATAAAAAAGCTCAGTTCTAGTGCCCTGATTTTTCTGATTATACCATGCACAGATTTTTAATTTTAGTTAAATTAGAGGGGGAAAAAAGAACAGAAAATGTCTATTCCTTACAAAAAGAAGGGTATTATCACTGCAGTAGGATATATTTCTAAGACATTAATCTTAATCTGAAATGAAAAAGCATTACATTTTACATAATAGAATGTTAACATAAAGATTACATTAGATTCCGTGAAGAAATTAAAACAAATGTTATGAGGAATAAATTCATCACTTGGCTTCAAAAATGCAAAAACTTTGATTTTAGAGGTACAGAAGTTCAACAGTATTTTATACTTAATTCTACTGCTTGAATTTATTCTGAAAGGTGCTACCTACTCTAGAACATATTTTAACAAGTGCAGTTATTCCTCTGCTTAAAATTAAAGAAGTGCTGTCCAAATGCTTTGCTGAATGATTACAAGACTTTAAAACACCTTGCAGGACTGAAAATGCTTTGTGAATCTATGCACTTCAATAAAAGAGTCTAAAACCTGTCATTTTATACCTGCAGAAGCTGCAATCAAAATATGTTTTTTTGCTATTAATATAATAGCTGAATAGAATCTCTTTATGGTGTTGAAGTGGTTCCTTTCTCTTTTATCTAATTTCCCGTAGCGTGTAATCATTTGATTTGCAATTTCTTTGAAATCGTAAGTACCTTTTGAATGCAGGATTGAAGATGAGAGGTTTATAAGGTGCAAACTTTTAAGCCGTAAGTCTAGTCCTGTAACCTTTATTCATATGGACCCTTTTATTTTAGTTGTAATCGTTAGTGATTTGGGATGGGTAAATAATGTCTGCAACACTAAAAGCAGAGTGAACTTGTCCATTGATAAAGCACATCAATACTCACAAAATCTATATCTTTTATAAAATAAGTGACATTTTAAAGGATGCTGAGAAGGACGTGGGAGGACTGCAAATAGATTAATTTGAACTTTGTAGCCATTTTGGTGTGAATTGAATTTTCTGTGTACTTTAGCTAAATCTGTACTTTTACAACGAATAATTGAAGTTTGTATTACTTTTTAATATAATGAATTGAAGCAACAGAATTTGAATGGCATGCAGCATAGTAAGTACTTAGAAGCAATTTATATTCCCTACAGGAAATGTGAGGAGCTGAAGTGTGTAAGTTTAAAGAACTGCACTCTTTATTGAACTTTTAGCTTGTCCCAAGACTTTGAGGAATACTTGATGGTTCATTTATGGAGGGATTACTGTGCATCTATTAGACAGGAAAATGTTTAAAGTAGTCAAGAAAAACTTCAGGTCATTCAATCTGAGATATTTAGTCTTTCTTACATTGGCAAAGCTTTGCATTCTGTGTGACATTTTCAGACTCGTGTATACTGAGGAGAGTGAGCAGTGCATCCAAGTCCTATGTGGAAAACTGTTGCGGTTTAACCTCAGCCAGCAACCAAGGACCACATAGCTGCTCACTCACTCGCCCCCGGCGGGATTGGGGAGAGAATTGGAAGGGTAAAAGTGAGGAAATCCGTGGGTTGAGATAAAGACAGTTTAATGAGTAAAGCAAAAGCTGCGTGCACAAGCAAAGCGAAACAAGGAATTCATTCGCTATTTCCCATCAGCAGGCAGGTGTTCAGTCATCTCCAGGAGAGCAGGGCTCCGTGGCACATAACGGTTACTTGGAAAGACAAACACCATCTCTCCAAACTTCCCCCCCTTCCTTCTTCTTCCCTCAGCTTTATATACTGAACATGACATCATATGGCACGGAATATTTCTTTGGTCAGCTGAGGTGAGCTGTCCTGGCTGTGTCCCCTCCCAACTTCTTTGCTCCCCCAGTCTACTAGCTGGTGGGGTGGGGTGAGAAACAGAAAAGGCCTTAACTCTGCGTAAGCACTGCTCATCCCGGTATTATCAACGCTGTTTCTGGCACAAATCCAAAACATAGCTCCATACTAGCTACGATGAAGAAAATTAACTTTATCCCAGCCAAAACCAACAAAACCAGCATAAAAACATTCTGCCATTTCTGAAAATGAAGTTACAGCTTTCATTGACAATTTTTTTCTGTGTATATATGTGTGTGTTCTTTTAAGTAAGGAAGAGATTTCCTTTACATGCTTTTGATGCTTGCATTCTTGAGCCAAAATGGAGAGAGATATTTATGGCTCTGATATCTTGGTAGTTTTCTCGGTAAATGATGGCATGCACAACTTTTTTTTTTTTTTCCCTTTCCGACTTCTCTCAGCCAGGCATACAATTTAGCTATAAAAAGCAGCTTTCTACTAAATCCGGTCATTACATTTAATTTATTGAAAGCAGTGCCTCAGCCAGAGTCTTTTCAAACCTGTCTCTTAATGTTAGCCAAAACCAACCTTCAGAACCATGAAAATTTCTGTTTAATAGCTATGTTTCTCAAAGCCTGAAAATTCATGAAAGCTGTTGAGCAGGTACACAACAGTATAGGGTTAATTTATGTGTAGGAAACAGAACCTTAGAAGAGGAGAATCACCAGTAGCCTTTATATCCATTAGAGCTGAGTAATTGTGGATATTGCCACATTCAGATCTAAATCAAATTTTCTTGCCTTTAACTTTACTTCCCTTCAGTAAGTTATTTTCTGTTTATGTACTGGTAAGAATGACACACATAGGAATGACAGTATATTTCTTTCATGTCTGGAAGCATAAAAAAAAATATCAGGAAACCTTTCTATTTATTGCTCTATATTTTAATAATGATGAGTCAGGTAGTAAAATGAAGGAGGTCAGGTAAGTATCAAAAGAGGGTCCTAACAGCAGCAGAAGATGAGGGAGATGACAGCTATCAGCATATGACGGAATAGGTCCCCAAAAAAGAGCAAATTGTCCATGCAGTAAAAAGCCCTCTGCCACTAGATTGTTCTTGGTGGGACACCTTCCATGTTCATGTTCATGCTTCTTTCTCAAGCAAGTTGGTTCCCTGGTCTTGCAAAAACATTTTCTGACCAAAATAGAACTTTCTATGGGCCAGGAAAAGAGTCGTTTGGTCAGATGGAGGGAATATCTGCTTCCCAGTTCCGTGCCTTTCAACAAGGATTTTGTTGTTAGTCTCCATTTTATTCAAAATGGATGACCTATACTATGAAAAGCATGCTCATGTCATTATCTTCCTTCTGAACTGTGATGTAATCTTTGGTATTGAAGCTAGGAGTCATATTCTTCCTTTTTCTGCTTTAGATATCCTAAATAAGTATGAAAATGCAGTGAGCCAAATACACCAAAACTACATTGTTAAAATTGTTTTCGTTCTCCTCACCTACTGCCATGGCTACATGTTTTTAAGTACAGATTATGCTCAGTTAGAAGGACTTTGTGACTGGTAAAGAACACTTCCTCCCCCACCCTCTCAGCAATTTAATATGTATTTAATATTTATGAAGGAGACAAGGACTATTTTTAACTTGAAACATTTTTGGCATCTAGCCTATACAGACTTACGATGATATAGATAGAAAATGAGTAGAGTTTTGTTTCAGAAAAGGCAATGCTATAAATTTAGTGAGTATGAAACCACAGTTCAGGGGTTGTTTCCAGGTCCTCATCACTTGAAGTAGTTGATTTGTTTTTTGTTGTAAATTTAGGCCTAAAATGTGTTTGATTCATTGTGGTTATGGGAATTGGGGGAGAAAACATTTCCTATTTTCCTACAGGAAAATAAGTTATAGCTTTATTTTAGTAGCTAAGCAAGGCAAAACAGTTATTTCCTTCCAACTCTTTTTTTGGCACTCTAAAATATATTAAAGCTGGAACTAACTTTGTCTTCATTATTATTTTAACACACAGTAGCTAAAATATGTGAAAATACAAATGTTTGATCTTGTGGATTTGGTCTCACTGATGACCTGTCTGCTTTAGCATGCTGTCCTGCTGTTGTCCTTTCTGGTACTTCTTTTTTTCTGGTTCCTCTGCCATGTAGCTTCCAAGGATGTTGTGTATCAATTTGATTTTTAACTCTTCCTCTTTGATTCAAAGCATAAAATCTTTACCTGACAGTAAAAAATAGATAGTCTAGTTGCATAAATGTATAAATAGTCTTAAATTTTAATAGGCTTAACAACCTTACCAAGATCCCCCTCAGTTTCCCATCCCCCAGACAGTATTTTAAAGATTGTGTCTTCCTGGAAAATATGAATTCATAGCTCACCCTGAGCAAGTTCAGATTCTTTGGAAACAAATGCAAATTGCATGCTGCACATGAAAAAAGTTTTTCCCTTCACAATTTTCAATTAAAATGAATAATTGCCATAGAAACCTCCATATCAGTTAATGCACCCAAGTACCTATAATTATATAGCTGCCTTTGGAAGAAGCACAGTGTGCAACAATGTAGAACTGGCAGATAGGATTTTAAATTAACATAGGTTATTTTATTTTATCTTCACTGGTGGTACTTCTTAAGGATTTCAAGTGGGCAGTAAACACAGAGACATAAATATGAATGCAGATGTATCACAAAATGCGTGTAGCAT